TGTTGATAAAAACATTGAACATTTACTGTCTTATATGCTTTCCAAAATAATAGGTGTGGACTACCTGATTATTGTAACCAGTGGTTACAGACTTTGAGTGACATGGCTCAAATGTACTCCTTCTTTGTCGTCCCTCCAAATCTTAAGCATCTGAACTCTTCACATTTCTTTTTATTTGTACTTCGCTAATTCAACTTTTCTAGTATCTTATCCTCGATGCCTGATCTTTTCTATTACCACTAATATTGTTAATACTTCTACTATTATGGGATTTGGTTTCACAATTTTATGTCACTATGATAATGGAGTATCACAACTTGAACCGAAGTACATACGCAACAGGTTCTGCATTGTGACTGACTGACTGTGTTTTGCAAATGCCAATTCATTGTTCAGATGATTAGTAATGAATTGAATTATTAAAAATTGTTAACATGAAGGGTCCTATCTACAAATTTGAAGTTGAAAAAATTGTTTAAAAAGATAGAGAAATTAAGTGGTATGAATTTTGAGGTGTGTTTCCGTACAATGGAGATAAAGATGGAACAAATGTGCATTTGCAACAAACATGAAATATTTTGAAGGAGTGTTTAGGTCGATGCAACTCAAAACACTTTATAAACTAACATTCATATGACTTCACTTTGCATAGTTTTATTAGACAGACTACATATCTATAATCAATTAAATTAACTTAAAAGTAGATTTATCATAAGTAGAAAGAGATCAACAAGAGTTAACACAGAACATATGTAAACATATCTAAGATTTATTTATTTATTAATTTAAACACATAAAACTTGGTACAAGGAAGCACCAGATAAATATGCGCCTCACAAATCTCATTTGATTTGTGTAAGGGCTATAATACTACCCAGTTGCCCAGACTGAAGCAGGTGGTTTTCTTAGGGGACCACACCCTGAGCCTTTGACCTAAAGATCTGATCCACAAGGCAGTGGAGCATCTTAAGTAGATGCAGTCCAATGGTAGCCGGTGACCAGCGATTGGTTCATACGCCATTTATTCCCTCAGGATACTGGAGCCCATGTGCACCATTGGTTTGAAATGAGGGTTTTCCAACTCCCCTAGGTGAACTCGCCATGTCCACCAACCCGGTTAAAGCACCGGACATTCGCTTTCCGTCCTCTCACTTTCGTAAACAACACCCGTGGTACGAGAAGGCAGTGAGTAGGACTTTCCTGGCAGAGGCTATATATTCGCGTGGCTATGTGAGAGCATTTTGAGAGGGAGAGCGGACTTTTCCCTCTCGGCCGTACCAGGGCATTTGGAGGCATATCCATTCATATTGGTCGTTTAACCTTACCCTTTCGGTGTTTAGGACTGCAGTTGATCATATTTTTGGATATGTGCATTCTGAAAGGATTATTTTGATATTGCCATTAAGTCATAAGCATTTTAAGCAGGGTTGAATGGTAGCTAGTAGTGAAATCAAGGACGCACGTTTTGTCCCATTTGAAGCTTATCACATAGATGTATTTGCATCTTAGAGTGGATAGCGACCAGTAGCTACCTAGACTCAGTAAATAAGGTGATGACGCAGAGGTGTTTGGAGTTATCTATTTACTTATTTCAACACATAAATAGTGATACAAAATGGGCACCGAATATATATGCGCCACACAAGTCACTTGGATTGTGTGTAAGCTGTGGTACTACCCGAGTGTCCAGACCGAAGCAGGTGGTTTTCTTAGGAGGCCACACCCGGAGACTTCGACCTAAAGGTCTGATCCACAAGGCAGTGGATCAACGTCAGGAGATGCAGTCCCATGGTAGCCGGTGACCAACAATAGGTTCATACGCCATTTGTTCCCTCAGGATACTAGAGCCCATGTGCACCATTGGTTTGTAATCAGGGTTTTCCGACTCCTCTAGGTGAACTCTCATGTGCACCAACCCGGTTAAAGCGCCGAACATTCGCTTTTCGTCCTCTTTCGTAAACAACACCCCTGCCATTGTGAGAATGCAATGATTAGGACTTCCTTGGTCGTGAATGTATGCACGTGACCATGTAAGGGCATTTGAGGGACGCAGGTATACTCAGATGACAATTTTCGAATACGACGAAACGCATGTCTCGAATTCTATTACTAAGCACCGTCCGATCCCGCATAAAATACTTAAGACCATTTGGAAGGATCTAAATTTTGAAATATAAGCTATTAAACATTGAGTGAAGAAAAGTACAAATAAGTAGTGAAGAAGTGAAATAAAATTTGCTAAATATATTTAATCTAAGCAAACGTTACAACAGAAACAATACAAACTGATAAACAAAGAACTAGTTATCAATAAAGATGTAGTTAGGTAGGAACGATAACATGATATTGATATTGTGTTGTAAACATTTAGAAAGACATGCAAATGATGAATAAATAAGCAATGAATGAATATAAATGCAAATGAAAGTGTATATGGAGGAAAAAGTACAACACTTTGTACATAAAACTGGTTTTCAGAGATATTATGTGTACATATGATGACCCCAGTCCGGTAGCCTTAACCTAAGTAAATTAAACGGGGTTCGAACCCAGGACTAAATGTTTGGAAGTCTTATGTCCAAACAATTAATTCACCAACTCGATTGATGACTTTTTTTTTGTTAATATGAAAGTCAGGATTATATATCTGATGTAAAGTTATTTAGTTATATACAATGTATTATCCCATTTGTTTACATTTTCAAATAACATATCTAACCAACATGTTGACAACACAAATTTGAATTGGTTAAGTAATTAGTTTTTCAGTTTAAGGAAATTGTCGAATAGTGTGCACGATAAAAGGTTAATTATTACAATACATATTTGGATACAATTAAATGAAACTACCTTTTAAATCTGGCGATAAACACTCATATATGTATTTCTATGTGTGAGCATGCAAACATACATAAATGTGAGTATGCATTACCACCCACCTATATAGTACAAGGGACAATCAGTCTAGCTTTAAGAAATAAAGTGAAAATAGTATATGCTTGAATTTTGATGGGTAACAAGCATTTTAGGCTCAGCTTTAACAAAAAATAAAACCGAAATATACACCGGGTACATACGAATATATACCACAAAAGTAGGCCAAGTTTCAAAATAGTCATCCATGTATAATAATAATGAAATAGAAATGGATTTCCTACGGTAATGTAGAAGAGATGTAGTAGGAAAGCGTCATTTTTTCAAGAAAATTAGAGTCAGTTACATTCGTTCATTTAGCATGTAGCCTTACGTACAAACACACAATGTTATAGGAAGAAGCAAATCCTAACGATTTAGCTTTAGAGATTTTACGGTATGAGAATGATTTATGTAATTCGATTAGTTCTTTTTGAAATAATCCAAGGACTTAGACTTTGACAAAAATGATGAAATTATGACGTTGTACATATATATTTGGATTTTTCAGTGTTGGTTATATTAGATACAACGCTTGGATTTAAGCTTTTATACAATTGTTTAATTTCTGTCTTGGGATACCAGTTGTAACTCAATATATTCTTGTTTTCAATTTGATTGGTTAACAAGTTATAGATAATGAGGAATACAACACATACAGAGAACATAGTGGGCTTGAGTGTTGTTAGAGGTATGAAGGCGGTTATTAGTTACCGATTGTCCACACCGTAGAAGGGTTCTTCTAAAGGTACCTGAAAAGGGTATTTGGTCGGAGTCAGTTTTAGTGACCTGGGTGCGCAGCCGCAATGTCCAAGGGACAACTGCTTGAGGCCCGTGACACACAACCTTTTTATGGGTGGTTTTTGTGTTAGCTCCGTAATTGTTGAGATCTTACCGCCGGAGAAGATATCCGTTGGATAAGGCAAGGGGTGCATTTTTAGGGTCGTAACCCTACTCTTCCTTGTGGGAAGGCAGCATTGCTGTTATGCTAGTTGTCTGAGGGAAACACCTTACTGCTGTCACACTTCTCTACAGCCAGCAGTACGACTTTACCCTCGGACCTTGGGTTTGCTGCTTTTAGTCTTATCGCTCTTCAACCGATCTGTCTGGTATGGGAGGACCTTGAGGAAGGATTAGTTCATCGTGATAGGCAAGTGTGACTACCACGTCAAGGTAGCAGCAACGGTCGGGACAATACCCACAGTTGGTGTCTACAACTCTATGAAGAAACTGACCAGGTATTTTATTACCATAATCACTATTAGATAAACTAAATATGTATAAATAATCCAAAAGTTAGGAAGTGTAAAGTTCCTGAGGTATTAATCCAACATTGATGATCCCCGTTCAAAAAAGCAGCGTACAACTTTAACCATACAGAATCTATACAAATTATGTCAATCTTTAAAAAGAGGTATTATCAATTAATAAGTTCAACCATACAAATCAGAGCCTACGAAATAAGTGAATACAAATGAAACTATGAAAAAAAACTGGAACTTAATGCTAAAAACATTTACAAATCATTAAATTTCAGCTAGATTAAAAAACACAAACCAAGAAATTACGTTTACTTAATGCTAAATGTTTCTTAAGGATTTTATAACTTTTTAATATGAATCATAGTTTCATTTAACAAAACAGAAAATTAAACGGTAACACATATAACATGGTGGTTGGAGGTGGTCAACAGGAAACCCTGGACCCGGGTTTCGTGGTACTTGGCACACATCAGCAAGGTGTACCTGTAATCTTGAGGGAACTGGTGTTCCCTGACGGATTCGATTCCGTGTCACTTAGCTTCATAGCCAGAGACGTTACCACTGAGCTATTCGGGCCGCGACCGACCTCCTGTAACACATATTCAATTGTCAATGTTTTTTGTAACTGTAGATTTCTTCCGTCTATATATTACAAAACACACTATCACTTCTTAATCACCAAGACAGAATAAATTAATAATTATACTTATAATTAAGATTCTTCATTGACTTAAACTTTTTTATGTGCATAAATTGATAAGCATCAACAACGATGTAGATATACTGAGAGGTACCAATTACACATTTATTACAAATGAAATTTACCTGTCGTATATCGGTCACAGAATAGGCATGACCAAGAATTAATCCTAAAGGACCATTCGCTTCAATCTCATGTGGATCAGCATCAATACTACAAGCCATTAAAGATGCACGATTCAGTGCATGCTCCATAATACCGAATAGATTGGTAGGAGCTTTCGCACCTAAATCAACAAGTTCTGTAAGACCACCAGTGAAATCTTCCATTGCTTCTGCTGTACACCCACCACGAAGTGCATCATAAGAAGACACAAGTCTTAACAGGATAAAAAACAACGAAAACATAGTATCATATAAGAAATTTAAAGAATAAGTATAAAATCATGTTAATCCTTTAACAACGTAAAATTTACCAGATTTTATTGAGTAGAATGGGATGATTTATATGTAAACAGTCTGCCAATCGGAAGAAGGTGGTTAGTCAGAACTCCGGTTAAAAATTTAGTAACAGGTGAAATGGAGTTTTCTCATTTGAATCTCTTCCTCGTCAAACAGATATCAACATAGAGCCTGGCGCAGATGTGTTTCACCCAGGTTGCCACACCACATTAGCATGACAAGATGAAAACAACAAGCGATTGAAATAAAGTAGTAGCAGTGATAAGAAGAAAGATTAATCATTGGGAATGTGGAAAGGTATGGATGAAGGGAAACTGGAAGTTCAGAAGACAAAGAGTAAGTGTATCTGCACCACTGAGTACGATTCTGAGTTATATCACCCAATCATTGGCAATGGTTATCAAGCAGACCCTAACCAAGTAGTCTAAGTCTACTTACACGGCTAAGACCAAGAGTAAATGACTTCACGGGATGATGTCAAATTTTGGTTTGGTTGTCCCCAGCTTTCTTTCAACCTACTTGTGAACTGATAAGCACTGCCCATCGAGGTAAGCGGTGGTTAGGCAAACATTGTACATGTCCTAACCATCTAAAACAATAAAAATTCATTACCTCACAGACCGATTTGTTACCCTGTTTGTTATCTTTGTTCCTGTTAGTAAATTTTATTTTTTACATCACATTTGCAACTAGTGCTGATGATTCGAGACTATGAAGTTTTATGTATGGTTTATAAATCTGAGTATACGAGGGAGTACATACTATTCGAACCACATGTTTAAATGGAATACAAATGTCGTTCACCAAGATTCCAGAACCCAGTGGGCCATATTACGATTAATCATAGTTATAGATCATTTAAATATTACTTGCAAATGGGAATTTCGAAATTTGGGATAGACTTCAAGATAGAAATGTTGATTCAGTTGATGAAGTTATGAACTTTCATTGCATAAAGTCAATGAATTCGAAACACGTCATTTGAAATAGATATACTGACATTTTAGTGGGGAAGGACGAATCCCCACCTATGACACAAGATGATGGTAATCATCTACCACACCGTGAAACGTGGACCATTTTATGTCACATCACAATGTTAGAAAGTTTGAAACGAATTCACTGTCTCTTGCGACTCTCAATAATTATTCTATTTGTGTTTATTCCCTAAGAACACATTCTTGAGGTCATTTAGTTCCTTTATCAACAATGATAAATGATTCGAAATTGTATCAGGTAATTTAATATTTTCTTATTACATTATCGAAATTTATCAAAGGGACTAATTGCTTTAAAAAACACTTTTTCCGATCGGGTGACTCGAACTGAAGAGTTGAGATTTGTTTTATTCCAAGGTCCTATGATTCGTATAAACCACACTCTTTTATACGACTTTACATTGAAATATTAAAGATTCTTATTGAGAAAATTAGAACGACATATAAACGCAAACAATATTGTTTCTAAATAGACTGTCATCAGGCTTTACTCTAATATACGTGAATATTTATAAGAAATTTTCAAAAACCAATCAAAGTCATTTATGGGTCAAAGGTTACAATAAAGTAGACTGTATAACCACACATAATAGATAGAAAAGTAAAAATAGTAAGCAGACGGGTGTACTAGTAGTGATAGGAATAATAGTCAATAGTTCAACATGGGAAGTAGATCAAGCTCGTATAAATACATTTTCAAGTAATAATCACTAAACATCACTAAAATTACGCAATAAGAAGTGTGTAAATAATCAGATAACAAAGAACATAAACTGGAATTTGCGAAGGGTGACAAACTAATACAGTGTGGAAAAAAAAAAGTAAAATCATTTATTAAGTCATATTCGGTGAAGGAAGGAATAGTAGTGTTATGAATTTCCTTTGAATATACAGATGAGAGTTGTTCGGAGCGCTATAGCTTCTGCTACATCTAGGGGACGGGATCGAACCCGATTGAGAAATGACGATGGTGTGCCATAGATCACTCGAAATGATTCAATACTTTCATATAAATATTAATGTATATTAAAGCCTGATGACGATTCAAGTGTTCTATTTTACATTGAGTTAGCCAGTCATAAGGAATAAAGAACCTAGCACATATGAGCACTAGTTCAAGTCTTGACATCAAATCAACACAGTGAGTTAAAATTAACAAGATAAACTTCAGAGCAATAGAATTAGTAACAGTATTAGTAGTAGTAGTAGAAAACATTAGGCATAGACGGTAGTATTCGGGAAAAGGGAACTTAATTAGTGGAATAGAAAAGTATGCGATAATTTTAAAAATCAAGATCGAAGGGAAGAGAAATAGTGGATGGACTTATGCAACTGAGACTGAATATGATCCATTTTACCCAACGTCTCCAACCATTCTTTACGATAGCCTCATGGACTCAAACCACGTGGTATGAACGAACTAACACTTCTCAATTCAGCAAGTCAACAACTTCATAACCTGATGCCGCTCCCAACTTTCTTTCAAACCATCCCTACACCAATCAGTATTGCACGTCGAGTTAGGTGGTGGCTAAGCAGACCAACATATCCCAAGTATCCTTTAGCCGATAATGACTTACTACTTCTTCAAATAATTTCTCAACTTCAGCTAGTACCCTACAACTTCTCTAAGTAAACTCGCAAATAAACACATTGTAATGTACTATAATCGTAAAATGAATTGCGTTTTCTTGAATTGTCTTAAAAGCCACAGAAAAGCTTTATTAAATATAATTATAAACAACGTAATTAATATAATGGTAATGTCTTTATTATTAATGACTAACTTAGCATAGGCTTTCTCTAATAAAGCTGACCAAAATTCATTAGAATCTGCGGAATGCATAAATACTAAATGTCCATTACGAGTTGGTAAACGATCATCTACAACAACATCGTACCAATCACCGAATTGCCAGAATCGGAACCAAAACATTCCAACATATGGATATTTTGATGATTTTTCAAATGATTGATCAGGTGGGACAACCTTCAAGTGAATTTTTTATTTTTGGAGGGAAAAAATAAATATTTTTATTGTTTTAAAAGAACAATTCAATTTGATGTAATGTAAAAATTTGTGTGGTATTGAATACATGAATTGGTTGCATAAATCGAGGTACATGTACGCGATTCTGACGTACTCATGTCCGACAGACTTAAAGTCTATCTTAAATCTGTACACCATAACCACAGTTTATATACAAATAACTCGATAATTGATTAAAACAACTCAGAAATTGGGAAAGTAATTAAATAGCGTCATCCTTTTTATTATTTATCTGACCATCGCTTTGTCTGAATAAAAAAGCGGCATCATGAGTATATTCTTAAGTGAGTATTTCTACATCACAATTCTCAAAATGTGTACTGTTTGAGTTGACAATATCCATTGACTTTATTTTATTATTGTTGTTTTCAAATGATTACCTAAATTCAATGAAGACAACATTTAAGGAATACTGAAGTCTGGCTACGTGTGTTTGAGGATAGTGGAATTGATGATTTACAATTGCTTTTACCATCTTAACTAATAAGTTTCAATGCTTTGGATATATTTACTTATGCGACACAGCGATTTCCAAACTGTGCATTATTTTTGGTTTAAGGAGATTTGTAGAGGCTAAAGGATTTTCAAATCGAAAATTGATCATTGTTAGATCAGCATCGAACTTTAATATGGGATTCCTCAGTAGTGCCCAAACACGACCCCATCAAAAGAGGTCGAATCCAAGATTGATTTCCATTGCAAACGAGTAATTTATAGATCATTGAACTAGCATCTAATGGTGTAAATATCTAACTTTAATCAATTTTTGATAATGAGTAACTATCTTCCATTCCTTGCAGTGGATAAATGTCTAACATCTAACATGCATGTTGAGACTGGATGGAATCTTAAAGCTAGTACAATCTAGTGTCACGCAGTCTTATCAGATGTAGTTCAAAATTAAACCAGACAATAATCCGGCTATAAGGTTTCTATTGCTATTTTACAAAAATAGTAAAATGTACGTTACAAATGAATGGGATCAGTGTTGATTTTATTCTTCATGAAACTGTATGCTGTAATGTCTATTTTTTTTCTATTTTCATTGGATGACTTTCTGACTTCACATTCTTGACAATGTTCTTCTTTTTCTTTGTGTATATGAACGTGTACTGCATTTATTGGTACCTTTGTTATATTATCATCATGAACTACTTTTGTGTTATAAATCAATCAATAAAAACCATATAGGTTTCACTAATTAGGAGTAACAAAGATCTTGATTATACCTGATTCTTTCAATGATTATGAAATAATCAGGTGATTTGTGTAGATTTCGGTACTTTTCAAACTTGAAATCATGAGTCAATTGAAGTTAGACCACCATCGAAAACCTGGAAGCACTGGACGGCCGTTTCATCCTATTATGGGACTCCTCAGCAGTGCGCATCCACGAACCCGCTCTCGCGAGATTCGAACCCAGGACCTACCATTATGAAATAATTAATCATAATTCAGTAATTTTTGAATATATTATTTATGAAAAATTTCTTTCATCAATAAGATAAATCAGTCAACCATATTTTTTTCATGACAAACATCAGAGAGAAAAAATCAATGTACCTCTAATCAACATTCATAACCGTTGACAAGTGTAGACATCGATTTCCTTTAAATGATTACTAATATATGCTTGTATATATAATAAAAATTATTTCATGTAAGAGATACATGGTGAAACGAATAAATAATCTTAAATAGAAACAAATAATCTGTGAGAATGACAGGAAGAAGTAAAGAATGATTATGATTCCCAACTTTTACTCTTGACTATTCATTGGCGTTTTCAAAAGAGATCCAATCGGAACAAAGTAGTTGAGTAATTTGTAGACAGATAAAAGCTTAAATACTTTAAAATTTTTTAATATTTGAATTCATGAGTCAATTAAAGTTAGACCACCATGGAAAACGTGGAAGCACTGGACGAGCGTTTCATTCTAGTATGAAACTCCTCAGCAGTGCGCATCACAATCCCGCTTGTGGGATTCGAACCCAGGACCTATCGGTCTCGCGCGCAAACACTTAACCTCTAGACCACTGGGCCGGCATCCAACGCTGTTAACATCTAGCTTCAACCAATCCATGAAATTGAGCCAACGTACACCATTGTCTTCGGTGAGTTACTATCTCGCAACAGACCTTTCACGAACGGAATCGTAGATGCGCACTGCTGAGGAGTCTCATACCAGGACGAAACGGCCGTTCAGTATTTCCAGGTTTCCCATGGTAATCTAGCTTCAATTGACTAATGAATCCAACTATTAAATTTGTAAAATTCCCACAAAACTCCCTTCTGACTGATCAGTGTTTGTACCTTCTAAAATTTATTTAATAGGAATTGATCGTATCAATAAATTGTTGGTTTGACTATTCTAATAATTTCAATATTTTGTAAAAAAACAATCAATTGGACGATTATAGCCTAGATGGATCTACTTAATAAAACTGATAAATTTCAATGTAGATATTTGATTGATCCGTTGAAAGAATCATGACAAAAGACTTGCACAATTTGGCTGTTCATATTTTATTGATCAGAAGAGGTTTTTGTGGATATTTCAAGATTTTCATAGCTGAAATCATAAATCAATTGAAGCTAGACCACCATGGAAAACCTGGAAGCAATGGACGGCCGTTTCGCCCTATTATAGGACTCCTCAGAAGTGCGCATCCACGATCCCGCATTCGCGAGATTCGGACCCAGGACATATCAGTCTGGAGCCAGAGCACTTAACCGATAGACCACTGAGCCGGCATACAACGGTGTTAATATCTAACTTCAACTGATCCACGAAGTTGAGCAACCGTTCACCAATCGTCTTCAGTGAGTTGATATCTCTACAACAGACTTGGTTGAACTCCACTGGTCAACTATGAAAATATTAAAATATCCACAAAAACCCCATTCTGACCTATAATCATATGCTCACCAGTGACTGAGTGTAAGGAATGTTTCCTTGAGTTCTAGTGGGAAGCAGTGACCAGTGGAGTTCAACCAAGTCTGTTGTAGAGACATCAACTCGCTGAAGACAATTGGTGGACGGTTGCTCAAACATCATGGTTTGGTTGAAGTTAGACATTAACAACGTTGGATGCCGGCTCAGTGGTCTATTGGTTAAGTACTTTGGAGTGAGACTGGTAGGTCCTGGGTTCGAATATCGCGAGTGCGGGATTGTGGACGCGCACCTCTGAGGAGTCCCACAATAGGAGGAAACGGCCGTTCAGTGCTCCCAGGTTTCCCAAGGTGGTCTAGCTTCAATTGATTCATGATTTCAACTATGATAACATTTTATTATCCCGAGAAATTTGATTAGTAGTGTGCAATTCTGTAAAAAAAATATTGAAATGAATATAGTTAAAGCACTTTGGAAATTTTGAGGTCTATGTGTTGCACAAGAAAAGATTGAACACCATATTTTATTGGCACTTGAAATTATAATTATGATATGATATCATTTTAAACGTACAACTATTTTGGAATTTTATCTTTTCTTCTTGATTGGAATGATTCATTTGAGGATTGTTTGCTTTCACAATTATTATAATCATCTTGCGTTGAAAATGAAAGATTGGAGCTATTTATAGCTAAAAATTCGGCTTCTGGACACAAAGTATGTATCGGTGTATTAGTGTGAAATGTAAGTAACGTTTTGAAATAGTTTCAATATCTACACAAATAGCTTCAGGAAGATCTAGAACATTAACAAACAACAATTATAGTTCTTGTAATCGTGACCGTCTTGGAGAGTAAAACCCTTAGACTTTTAATATTATATACCAAACTGAATGACTGGATATGTCTCTATTCCATATGTTTCCCACTAGTCCATTTGATACTTGTGTACAAGCCGAAAACAAGTGATCGAACCTCACTGTATAAAATTATACAGAATAGTATTAAAATTATTCTCTCAGGGTAAATTAACCATGGTTAAGCAAATCATAATTTGTATCACTGAGTGTGTCTTTGACTATTGTTACTTACTTACTTACGCCTGTTACTCCTTGTGGAGGAGCATAGACCGTCCACCAGAATTCTCCATCCGGCCTTGTCTTGGGCAATCCTTCCCAGTTGCTATTCATCTTTTTCATGTCTGCTTCCGATTCTCGACGTAGTGCGTTTTTCGGCCTTCTTCATTTCTGTTTCCATTTAGGATTCCAAGTTAAGACTTGCCCCTTGATGCAGTTTGATTTCCGTAATGTATGTTCTATCCACTTCCAACGTCTTTTCCTAATTTCCTCCTCAGTTGGGACCCGGTTTGTTTTCTCCCACAGTAGTCTGTTGCTGATGGTATCCAGCCAACAAATATTGAGTATCTTAAATAGTTTAATTGTTTATAAATACTTGCACCTTTTTGATGATCACTGTAGTAGTTCTCCCCGTTTCAACTCCGTACAGTAGAACTGTTTTGACGTTCGTATTGAAGATTCACACTTTCATATTCGTTGACAGTTGCTTTGAGTTTCACATGTTTTCAACTGCAGGAATGCTGTCCTTTCTTTATCAATCCTTGCCTTTATGTCTGCATCAGATCCTCCACGTTCATCGATGATGCTACTCAGATACGTGAAACTTTCCATCTCTTCGAGAGTGTCGTCATCAAGTGTGATTGAATTGGTGTTCTCTGTGTTGTATTTGAGGATCTTGACTATTATTAGGTAAAATAAAATTTAAAAGACAAGATAGCCTATACAATGAAAAAGAATTGAAAAATGAATTGAGTTTAAGTAAATTTTTATTTACTTGATTAAATAATTCAGGATACATTGATAATGAAGCCAAGGCAGCTATAACCCAACAGTTTCCTAGAAAAACAAAACAAAAATACAAAATGATATCATATGATGAACACTATTATTATTATTATTATTGATGCTCTGTCATTTAAGTCTAAAAGAACCAGTAGATAGCTGTGAAGCTCCTTATTTGATTGTTTTCGTTATAAACTATCGGATACAATTGAGTAATTAACAAACTCACTGGTAAAACATATGACTGAAACAAAACTAAGGTGAAACTATTGACAATTAAAAAAACAACTTTCATTCAGAGAAATTTAGGGGTGATGTTTTAATGACAAGGTAACAACACAACAGTTTGTTTTAATAAGAACATTGAATACAGTCGAAGTTTGACTGAACAGTTTCGTACAGCAGGAACGCTAAGGATATAAGAAGAAATTGGTTAGATTTTCTTCAGGGTAATATTGGAACCATTTAACTCAGTTTTTTCAAGGTTCAAACTGTTCAAGGTATAATCCTATTCATAATAATGAGGTTAGATTTTGCGTTCTTTAACTAACTAATAAGTTAACAATTTATCAATTGAACAGCTTCTACAATGTTAGTTTCAGTGGGTGTAAAACACATCACTATGGGATTTGAATCGAAAACTGCATCTTTGTGCTAAAGTGGTATGGCAACTCGAACTGATGTACATACGTACGTACGACGTTCTACGTTGTGACTGACTGGCTGGTGTAAAACAATCGGAATTTTATCGATATAGTTTTCAAAATCACTTTTCACAAATGAGAAAATAACAAACTACACGTTTGTAAATATACTCAACATTAAATTTTATTTTGATATCTAAATGGGTTTTAAGTACATCAATCGAAATCTGTTTAATTTATTCAATGGATTCAAAATTTATCTTTTATATACAGTGAAAATGTGAGGATCCACTTAGATAAAACTAAACTATGCATTCATACAAGATTTGCATAACCTTTTGTATGTTACTACTAAGATAATCTTCTTAATCCTTAAAATTTTTTAGTTCTTTTATTTTCGTACATATCGCTTAAGTCACATGTTTAACTGATAGTGTGTCTCGTTCCTTGGAAAAGTAAGTCTCATCTTGGCCAAAAGTTTGTTTCTCGTTTGGTCAATATCTGAATGACCCACAGTATTTAATCTAATTACCGAAAATTGATTGTTGATTTTAAGGTTTGCATATTGGTATAGATCTATAATGATGAGTAAATTGAAATTTATTTATTTTATTTATTTAAACACATTAATATTGGTACAATAAAGCACCAGATATATATGCGCTACACAAATCTCATTCGATTTGTGTGAGGGCTATGATACTGCCCAGGTGTCCAATACGAAGCAGGTGGTTTTCTTAGGGGGCCACATCCGGAGCATTTGACATAAAGGTCTAACCAACAAAGTAGTGGAGCATCGTGAGGAGATGCAGTCCCATAGTAGCCGGTGATCAACGATTGATTCATAAGTCATTTGTTCCCTTAGGATAATGGAGCCAGCCCATGTGCACCATTGGTTTGGAATCAGGGTTTTCCAGCTCCTCTAGGTGGACCCTCCAAGTCCACCAACCGGGTAAAGCGCCGGACATTCGCTTTTCGTCCTCTCGATTTCGTAAACAACACCCGTGGTACGAGAAGGCAGTGAGTAGGACTTCCCTGGCAGAGGCTATATACGCGTGGCCATGTGAGAGCATTTGAAGAGGGAGAGCGGACTCCTCCTACTCTCTGCCGCACCAGGGCATTTGGGGGCGAGTAAATTGAAAAGAAATATTTGTTTGATCTATTAGTAATTTTTTTTAGAAATTATTCAGAAGCCTATATTTATAAGGTGTTCATTCGGGAAAAACTGAGCATATTTATGATAATGTAAACTTACCAAGTTCACCTTGTTTAATATCGAAGCGACTAACTCCATCTGCGACAAAACGTGGGTATCTGCTAAGTTCCTGAATAGTGAATAATTAAAGTTCATTTATTACGTAATTCATACACATGTAACACATATGAACAATAAATGTTTTTTTTTAAAAAAAAACATGCATTATTAAAACGTAAAAGAAGTTTTCTTGCCCATCACTTTGACATTAAAAAAGCAAATTAGGAATATTAAAAGAACTCATAAAGAATAATTAGAATAAATGAATTAAACAAGTAGTCAGCATAATATGAAGAAAAAATGAAGAATGAATGTTTTTCATTAGTTTCTGAACGATATTTATTGTATGAAACTATTCACTTATCAATTCATTTTGCATTGTTTGTTTAAATCTGTCTATTGATATTCAGGGCTGAAAATGATCAGTCTCTTGTTGGAAGTCTTGAACATCAATGGGAAAATTTAAATAAACAATACAGAAATGAATTTAAACTTCACCTCAATGGAAACGCTAGTAGCTATCCGGTCTCACTAGCTACGTGGACAACTTGATGGCGTTTGAAAGGAATGGTACTGAGTTCGAATCCCGGAGTGAACATCAACTCTGGAATGCAGGTACATCAAGCTGATGAATCCTCAATATGGTGAAACGCGCGTCCTGGATTCCATTGCTAGCCAATATCTATCTTTATTCATTTATAACCTTGTAAGTTTATCACATTGCCCCCAAATGTCCTGGTACGACCGAGAGTGGAGAACGCCCACCCACCCTCTCGAAATGCTCTCACATGGCCACGTGTATATAGCCTCTGCCAGGGAAGTCCTACTCACTGCCTTCTCGTACCACGGGTGTTACTTGCGAAATCGAGAGAACGAAAAGCGAATGTCCGGCGCTTTAACCGGGTTGGTGGACACGGAAAGTCGAACTAGGGGAGTTGGAAAACCCTGATTACAAACCAATGGTGAACATGGGTTCCAGTATCCTGAAAGAACAAATGACTTATGAATCAATCGTTGGTCACCGTCTACCATGAGACCGCATCTCCTTACGATGCTCCACTTCTTTATGGATCAGACCCTTAGGTCAAATGCTCGGTGTGTGGGCCCCTAGGGAAACCGTCCACTTCGGTCTGGGCAGTATCATAGCCCTCACACAACCAAATGAAATGACAATTTTTTGTGTGGCGCATATGTATCTGCTGCCCCATTGTACCAATGTTTATGTGTTCAAATAAAATAATAATAAAATAAATATTGTGATTTTGAATGAACTTTATTGGAATATACGAACGAAATAGAAATAGATCAGTCAACTTTAAAGCACAGGCAACTCACATACACACTATAAAGTTACATAATGATTTGTGAAATCTTTTTCTATTAGTATGAATTTTAGAAATATTGTGCACTAATTGTCCAATTTATAAAAGTTTGTGCGGTAGTTCCAAATTACATCTATATATTCAAAACTAATATAGAACATTTAACTCATTTCTACCTTGACTTATACAATACTGACATAAATAAGTGAAACACAAAAAGTTATTTGTTTTATCATTAAACATAAATACTTTTACAACTAGACAACAAAATAAATATTCATTATTTAAATAAGGAAATGAAAGTGTGAAGAGATAGAGGAAGGATGTGGAATATTATGAAAAATAAATAAACAAAAGTAGTATATGATGGAATTGATAGTTAGGTTAAAAATACGACCACAAACTTCTTAATTGAGTTCTTTCCGACTTTATACGAAGAATGTTAAAGAAATCTATGATAAGCGCCGACTGGAAACGGAAGCTACCAGATAAAAGGTTCTTGAAGATCTCTGGTCAGTGGCCTATAAGTCCAAAGAGGCAGTAGGCTTAAGTACAGTAAATAATAAGACTACAACAGGATCTTCATTGTTTCCTGTCCTGAGGTAGCATTTCAAACCACTGAGTAGAATCCCAACCAAGGAGTCGTGATGGACCGACAGAAGCCAGTCCCATACAACTTCCTTTTATACCACAGTATCATATCATTAACAGACCACTTGTCTACTTTTTCTACATCTCAGCAACGGTAATGAATGAACGATACGGAAGTCGCTGGAATGACATTCGTAGCATCAGTTCAAGGGACTAATGTCACATTTCAAGGTGACAACACAAATAGAATTAACGTTATTACGTCCGAACTACAGAATTGGAATTTGTAGAGATAACACTTTGTTCGTTGTCTCACTAGCCGTTTAAATGATATTCATTATAAGTTTATTAAAAATACTAAAATCAATCAGGTTAACCCGCGATATATGAAGAACAAGAGTTAATATAAAACAGGTAGTTAATGTATAATAAAATCAACATAAAGATGACTTACAACAGGTCTCAGCCATCTGTAACTTTGTTTACCCGATCCAGACCCTGATTTGATAGTTGAGTCGGTAGCAGGCATAAATGGATCCTCAAATAAACCACCTCGTTCCATTTGACACTTGATTTCTTGTTTAAACCAATCTGCACTGCACTCTAAAGAAGTTGATTTATGTGTGCGTTGTACCAAGACACTAGATCCGCTACACTGGCCACGCATGGCACTGCGAGGCGTTTCCGAAGGATATTTACGGCCCATGGTCGGGAAGAATGTGTTCAGGTACTAAATTTGAAGGTAAGAAAATCATCAGATTGATAAAATAAATATCATCAAAATGATTGAGGGATGTAATTCCATAAGTAGAGGACATCTATAGCATAAACAAATTACCTGAAGTACCATTAACAAAAGCGATAATATGAGACAAAAGAATATAATCTAAATCTAGTTATGCTATTCATAATAGTTTGACAAATACTACTGGTTTTTTAAATGTATTGTTTTACCTTTACCTCTTAGAAAACTTTTTCAAACTTACCTTTAAATCCAACTACTACCCATCGAAGAAAAAAATGATTGAATATGTATAGCACGTGTTTCAAGTACTTTATATTTACAAATACATCTATCTTCAAATGTCGAGAAATTATCTCATTTAACTCTTTTATCATAAGCTTACATAAAAAATTCCTATGAAGAGGATTTTCTTTTTGATGTTTATTTTGTCAAACACAAAAAGTACTTCAGAAGTGTCAGTGATGTGCGATCAACGCTTACATGTATTTACACTTTTAATGTGAAGGTAGATTTTAAACGTAAAATTAGAAATGAACATTTTTTTCCAATTATGTCAGCAATTTTTCTTGTTGGACACAAAACTTCACGTCTGGGACACTTCAACACCAAATATGAAAATATCGAGTTTATTAGGAAGCATTAAAATGATTATGAGTTTGACTTTTGGGACAAGATTATCTAAAGTAATGAGGATAATGCATTCTAAAGATAGATTCGTCGAACGTTAAATGTTAAAGAAGTTCCTACTATAATGTAGCTCTATACAAAAGATCATTTTACCAAGTAGTCAGTTAGTCCATTATAATCAACATAGAGCATGGGACAAATGCGCGTCGGTCTAAGTCACCAAAGTATATTAACAAGGCACCCAAATGCCTTGATGGGGGAGACTCCGCTCTCCTTTACGAGATGCCCTCATATGGCAATGTGTATACAGCCACTGACAGGGAAGTCCTAATCACTGCCTTCTCGTGGCATTACTGTTGTTTACGAAATTGAGAGGTCAAAAATCAAATGCCCGATGCTTCAGTCAGGTTGATGGATACGGAGGATCTACGTATGGGAGTTTGGAAACCCTGATTACAAACCAATGGTGAACATGGGCTCCAGGATCCTGAGAGGACGAATGGCGTATGAACCTATTGTTGGTCACCGGTTACATGGGGCTGCATCTCTTAACATTGCTCCACTGTCCTGTGGATTAGACCTCTAGGTCAAATTCTCAGAGTGTGGCCCCCTAAGAAAACCACCTACTTTGGTCTGGGCGTCCGGGCAGTATTCCAGCCCTCACAAAAATCGAATGACGAAGTGTCGCCTGTTTGTACCAAAGTTCATGTGTTGAAATAAATAAATACATTAGGAGATATAATTAACTTATTCCTTCGCCTGATAACATTAACCGTTGAGGTAGACGACAAGTAATACAGAAATGAAGAAACAAAATCGGAACTGCATTTTACTCATCTCAATATTAAAAGTGGTTTTATCACAGGAGCAACTAACAAATAACTAAACATTACACTGAATATAGTAAAATAATGCGGTGAATCGGATTTCGCTTTATCAAGACTTGAAAATAGACATTATGCCAACCTTAACTCTGTTCATAAAGTAATGTACATTGATAAAGGAGTTATGCGAAGAAACAAAGGAATATTATTACGTATTATTTATTTATTTAAACACATAAATATTGGTACAATGGTGGCACCAGATATATATGCGCTACACAAATCTCATTCGATTTGTGTGAGGGCTATGATACTGCCCAGGTGTCCAGTACGAAGCAGGTGGTTTTCTTAGGGGGCCACATCCGGAGCATTTGACATAAAGGTCTAACCCACAAGGCAGTGGAGCATTGTAAAAAGATGCAGTCCCATAATAGCCGGTGATCAACGATTGATTCATAAGTCATTTGTTCCCTTAGGATATTGGAGCCAGCCCATGTGCACCATTGATTTGGAATCAGGGTTTTCCAACTCCTCTAGGTCGATTTTCCGTGTCCTCAAACCCGGTTAAAGTTCCGCACATTCGCTTTTCGTTCTCTCGATTTCGTAAGCAACACCCGCGGTACGAGAAGGCAGTGAGTAGGACTTCCCTGGCAGAGGCTATATACACGTGGCCATGTGAAAGCATTTCGAGAGGGAGAGCGGACTCTCCCCACTCTCAGCAGTACCAAGGCTTTTGGGGGCTATTATTACGTAATCTGGGTTTATTTCAAAACGCATATGTAAAACATAAAACATCATGTAAATGACTTTTATCTTTCATTTTTATGTGATAAATGATCATCATCACAGATTCAGTTCATTCATTTTTGTCAAATGCCTTAAGCCGTAATTACATACCGAATGCGATTTTCATGAGTCATACGTAGTCATACAGGAGTGTAGAATTATAACAATGTTTATTTTTGTCACCCACAGGTGCTTATAAGCGAAAATAAACACCATGGCTTTGGTTTTCTAGCTACATATTAAGTCCTTTACAAGACTGAAAAAGGGTTATCTGAATGGAATTGGATTAGTGCCATAAAATTATCATAGCAGACAGATAAGCCACTTGGCTTTAAAATACCTCGAGAGAAACTGCGGCAAGACACCACACTAACAAAATGGAATCAATAAAATAGCCAAATAAACTCCCCAAATATGTCTTGGAGACATTTTGCACACCAAAAATACTAGTATTGGATTTATTAGTTACGCCACATCGTTCATCATAAAATGCACTTCATGTCACCAAGTATATTAAACTTTTAAAAATTTATTGATCTCGTATTTGGTGCTTTTGTGTCCGAGGCTGGAATGGTTACTAACTCAACATGCTTTCAACTAAGTAGATAATAAGTTGAGTCCTAACTGATCAAGTGTATGATAAACATATTAGAAGTAACATATTTCTTGAATTTTGACCCGAATTCAGCTCATTTGAATTACATTCCTAACAGTGATCCCTAAAAGAGGTTTTTAATTATTTGAAAACAAGTACATGTCATACAGCCTATATAATGCTTTATGAATTGTTGTTCGGTGAACTTCCAACCTCACCTCGAAAGTATAAGGACGACTTGAAGATACCCAGTGCTTCAGTAAGGGATTCCACTAACACAGTTACACACGATAGATGTCTTCAGACGTAGTTGTGTTGACTGTGATTGTGAACTCTGGAGGTGATTTCATAAGTGATCAGTCCTGTATAGGAGGAATAAATATGACACCAACATTAAAAGCCATTATTGAAGATACGACAATCCGACATAAACTTTTACTCCACAATCAGACAACTGCTAAAACGGCCCTAAAATATTCCCAGCATGTTGAGAAAGAAGGCAATAGTTCAAATGTTCTTAATACATAGGAAATATAAAATTTAGCTACAGTTACTCAAGACTTAATAACGTGACCATGGCATGGAAAGCAGTTGAAATTTTAGTGTATTAACTTAGTGTTATACAGATTTGTTACCTGAAAAACAGAGACAGGTGATTTGATATGATGAGTGATAAAATGTTTGGGTAGTTTCTAAGGAAGACATAAAAACGATGATCAGTAGTCGACAGTCCCATCAAAAACCAAATCAACAATTTAACGCACTACTGGATAAACTTAATTAGGTCTTTAATAAAGTAATCTGCTTAACGAAGCCCACTTTTTGGAATGACCATAACTACAATGCTCAGCTGACGGAATCGCATTTCACTCTCATGTTAATGAATTTCAAGTGCAGAATGTAATGGACTACAATTAACATGCGGCAGCTTCGAATATTACGCAGTTACATAAATACTGGTAGGTGAAGTAAAATTTGTCTCTGATGTCTGTTTCAGTCTCATTCATCGAATCTCTGAGCCGAAAAAAAGTAAATATGCCTGTTTTGCTTAACAACCTAGAACTTTATCAAACATATATGTTTCAGTAATGTTTAGAAGAATAGGTACTTGAGAAACTTTTCGGTGGACAAAATCATAAACAGAATTTTCCAGCCACATTTGGGCGCAGAAAAGCTGTATGGGGAAAAAATTTATGTTGCAGAAACCCTAACGATCACCAAGACAGGTATTTGTGAAATGTTCTTTTCGATGTCATCATGCAGCTAAACTTAAGTTAGTATTCAAAATACATCCCAGATGACCTGAGATGTTATGTGGGTTCGTTGAACGAGAATACAATTGACGAAAACATAAAGGTATCTAGACTACTGACTACTATAACAATTTTCTGCTATTTTTTGTTTTCGATTGACAGTTTTACATGACATATAGGACTAATCTGTAGTCGAATTTGTGTGATGTTTGCGAAATATCCAACTGACATGGCAGTCGCTACCGGGAAATCGTGAGTCGGACGACGAAACTAAGAATAAGATGATATATAGGGAGTTACCTGAGCTTCAAAATACATCAAAATGATACATGAATACACTTTTTAGATGATTAGCTTACAATTAGGCTTAATATTAAAATTTACATGAATTGAACCGAACAGTTAGTCAATAACTCATTGTGTGGGTATGCATTTACATGCTACCTGATTGTGCTTAACAAATTGCGATTAACAGAAGCCATCGAAAAATGGTAGTTATTAGAGTTAATTTTGGTACCTTATCTATTATAACTGATTAGATACAAATTTTCCGGACTGTAAGAAGTCAGATGCTTTTATTTGTTACTAATTGGAAGTGAAATTATACGAAGGGTTTTTAAACCGAAAAATAATATTGATCAATCAAACTAAATGAAGCATCGAACTCATAAGGGCGGATCTAAACGGCAATAAAATTCAACCGAACAAAATAAATCAGTGCAATAACACACTTAATTTTTAGATGCACAGAGAAAGCTTATGGATGCAGGAGGATGAGATACTCCGATTTTGTTGAAACAACCTACTATGAAGCCCATCTAAAAGACGAGAATGGGTGTGACTTGATGATCATTCAAAACATCTATTCAATTATTCGAACTCTGGATGAAAAGATGTATGGGGGAACTTGAGTTTAATTCCCGGTTTTGATAGCTGAATATGTAAGGTTTTTGCAAGTGTAACGCAATATATTGAGGTGCCTGAAAATATTGGTCAAAGCAAACTGTTCTAAACTTTTAATGACGTGACAAGAGATATATTTGGAAATCTACCCACACAACCAAGAGACATTTAAAATGTAAGTAGTCGTATTGTACTACCATTTAGCATTCATTACTCACAGCAGTTGAAAACCCAAACATAACAAGGTCAGAGTTTGTGTTCGGCGCTGTGTGGGATATGCAGCCACTATTGATTGATTACTGGGTGGTGATCAATCTCATGCGTGTCAGGTCCTTAGTGCTGATCGAATGCTATCGATCAAGTTGCAATGTGGCCACCAGTCTAGGTGGCTCGACACTGCGGGCACTATATATATTAGGGTAACATCGTGGTTGGAGGTGGTCAACAGGAAACCCTGGACCCGGGTTTCGTGCTACTTGGCACTCGTCAGCAAGGTGTACATGTAATCTTGAGGGAACTGATGCTCCCTGGCGGATTCGATCCCGCATCACTCAGCTTCACAGTCAGAGACGTTACCACTTAGCTATTCGGGCCGCGACCGACCTCCTGTAGGACTGAGATCTAATCACAATTGATTGATCACTGGGTGGTGATCAATCTCATGCGTGTCAGGTCCTTAGTGCTGATCGAATGCTATCGATCACTGACATGAACCAACTTCAGATCAGTGCTTTGAACACATGCAGATCTAAAACCCAAAATCTTCGTAACAAGCTTGTTTAAACTAATTGATTTCTTTACTTTTGCTTCTTGTTGTTTCTCTGTAGTTTAATATCCTGTAAAGTCCAATGATCGTTGGCATGTCAGTCGATCTCTCTAATTCTAGAAAGTTTGGTGATTATTTGTCAATTTTTGTGTCTTTCAAACTCATAGAGTGGGTTTATCTCAGTGTCACCATGTTAGGTCTCCAACTTTCTCTTCTCTACGTTAATGAATTACCGTTATTGCCTGAATCGTCGAGATTATTGTTTGCGGATGATGTCAAAATATGCAGAACATTAAGAAATGAGGCTGATCATTATGATCTCCAAACTGACCTTGACGGATTAGTTATATAAGCACTAGGTTGGTGCTTAGAAATTAACTCTAGAAAGTGTGCTCACGTACATCAGACGCGGTTATGGTTGCCATTATACTATTGATGGTACATCTCTTCCATGAATTCAAGAACATACACTTAGGAGAAATGATAAGCCACGACTTGAAAACAACTACGCACTCCAACGCAGCTGCTGCGATAGGTCATAGTGCTTTATGGTTACTTCTTCGAGCATTCAAATGCCAAGACGAGATATTTCGAATTTTATATCTCACCTGTGTAAGATCAAGCAGATAGCCCATGTCTGACTAAGGACACCAACTCACTCGAGCGTGCTCAGTATGTGGGAACGAGATTAGTGAAGGGTCTTTCCAAACTCCCTTATGATGAGCGCTTAAAACTCTCAAACCTTTTCCCTTTGTCGTGTCGTATAACGCGTGGTGACCTTATCCCTCTAGCACTAATAATCTTTGAGGTCATAGCAAGAAGGTTCACAAACCGCGACCTAACAAGCTCGAAGTTTGATTCCTTTTTTGAGTGGTGACTGGAACGCTGTAGCCGAACAAGTGGTATTAATTCATCAGTGAACATTTTCAAAGAGAAGCTGAACCTTCACTAGAAAGCAAACTGTCAGGATTATCATAGGTCCACCAACTTAATATTCTTGATAATCAAGTTTGAAGACATTACCAGACAAAAGGCTGTTTGGTTGCAGTGAGAAAAATAGAGAAAAAAACTAGAATATAGGAAATTTAGGAATAGAAGATAATCTGAACATTTAAATAAATAAATGAATAGATCATTATCAGAATGAGGGTAATTTAACAGCTGAATTCATGATTTTATTCACAATAGATCACCACGGAAAACCTGGAAGCACTGGACAGCAGTGGACGGAGTGAAGGCTCGTGGATGCGTAGTGCTAAAGAATTCCATACTAGGACGAAACAGCCGTTCAGTGCCCTCAGATTTTCCATGGTCGTTTCTCCTAGATCGATTCATGAATTCAATTGTTAGATAAATAGATCATTTTTAATGCAAAAAGTATAAGTGAACAGAAGTGTGAGACTTATAGGGGAAATGGGGATGATAACAATCGAGATAGGAGGTAGTTACCGATATATGATAGTGATAACGGAGAAAAGGTTATGAGACGTGCGTCAGGCAAACCTAGTCAAAGAGATGGTCGTTAATTCATGGGTGAATTCGTGTTTGTAAAGTTTCTTTTTGAAGCTATCCACTGAGGGAGCTTTATTCACTGGCTAGGTGGAAGTTTTAAATTTGATAACTCCTAACGAGAAAGAATGAGAGCGCACCTTGGATTTTTCGATGCACATTTTCGAGGGTTAACTTGCGGATCGCTGCGATGCTCTAGTTGGTGTTTTGCGCATGAATGACACGGTGTAATTAATATGTTATGTATTATTATCAAATCACCTCTCCTTCTTACAGACCCATCCGGAATAGTGTCGAGTACCGAAGTCTACTTCCGTAAAATTTGTTTCTTAGTACTCTCACTCATTTCGCTCACTATCTTTTCACTTGATTCAACTGATTTTTGTTTCTTTTGATAGGAGGGGGTGAAACTACTGTATGGGGTTAGAACTGGGGCCGTGAGTACGTTCTGAACATAGTCAGAAATAATTCTAGGTTAGTGGAAGAAAGTTATTCTGGTATAAAATGGAGTGCTGCATTTACTTTGACTGTAGACCTAGTTTATTTTGAGCAAACGTGCAAGTTCTTTGTGGCCAATAAATCCAGACCGTGATTTAAGAAGACGATAGGGAACAGATTTTCATGGAGGACATACGTTGTGTGATGTGGGGCTGAATGTTCATAACATGTCGCTTCGACTAATTACATACTAATCCACTATCCACGATTTATTTCGCTTATGCTGTAGGGTCCTTTTAAAACTGTCATTGTAATTATTATTAGAACAACATATTTGAGTTGGTAACTTTCAGTTTACGAATAAAATTTTATTACGATAATTGTTGTTTTAGTCTTACGTCGCAGGTGCATCAATTGATTTCCTTTATGGAATGACGAGGATGGAATTCAACCAAACCACCGAATGAATGTCGTAGCCTAGTTTTATCTAGGACGTCGTTAGTTTAAACCGGGAAGAGCGAAACTAATATAGTTTCCTGTTGGACGCCTGATGTTGACCCATCATATTTTGTTCATTCTGTCAATATCAGTGTGAAACACCTGGTCCCACAGGTAGTTCTAGATCTGAGGTAGAAGCGAAACAATGTAACCCATCGTCGCTATCTTCACCAGAAAGAATCAGTTCTTATAGATTCTATTAGAAACATTGCTTGAACGACTGGTCTTACTCCAAAATTCCACTACGTGGTCTGAGCTGCGATGAGGTTTTTTCTGTTAATGACGTTAACACTACACTAGATTTTTCTAATTTTAAACTCAAAACTCGTTTAGACCTAATCGCCCCAATTATAACAAAAAATGCTCCCCTGATTATGACTACATCCCCATTAAATTCATATTTTAACCGAGGAATTCGCAAAAAAGGTACTTCGTTCAACATGACTTTTCAGCTATTCTCAACATCCAATCAGTATTTAGCAATATTTAAAACTTCGACAGACAAAAGAATTGAAAGTGTAGTTTTTCCAATTTATGGAATAAGGATAGTTTTTTGATAGCTACTCTAGAGAAGAAACTCTGTATCCACTCTAATATTCTTACTATCCTAGATGACAGTGATGAACTTTTAAGAGCTGTGTGAACTGCTTAGCGACACATTAGCGCAGACGTAGCTGAGTCCTCAGAGAAAGATTCTGAAAAATAGAGAACCAAAGGAGCAGCCAGACATTTGGATATGGACGATAAACAATGCTTAGCTTTTAGTAGTGGAACAAACGGAGGTAAGATGGATTGGGTTAAACTCATACTAGCTCTTGTTGCTAGAATGAAATGTGATCAGAGCCTCCAGATGAGAGCCCGATGGAATCAAAATGTCCTACCCCACAAACACATCTAGTCCGATTATGAATATAACGGACTTCTATTGTCATTAATATGAATATAACTAAGTGATAGAACACATGATTTACCCTGTTCCACCACTCATTGATTATTATTTACACTGTTCCCCTCCTAACACTCACTTTCAGATTCCGAATCTGTCTAATGGTTAATATTGCATTATTCTTCCCAAGCCTCATATCCTTTATTTCCATCACAATTAGACAGATAACTCACTAATCTCATTGATGCTGATCAATTGTGGCCGATCATAAGGTGCTCATAATGTTCTAAATCCATGCGAGTCGCTCAATGTTTTGTTTTCTTAATCTGAAAATTTTACAATTCTTAACACTTTCATATTTTTTTGATTTGCAGCTTATCCTTACCACCTACAAAACACAAATAGTTTTACCAGTCTCATTTAAATTCTACCATTATTTATCTTCGTAACAATGTGATATACTAAGTGGAAATCTAACCCACAATACAGAAGCCTCAACCATCTGATTTGTTTGTAATATGGAACTAGCAAAGACAGCGTGTCCCAACAGGGTGCTTAAATCAAAGATATATTCATTCGTATCACAAACATAAGGGAGCTTAACATCACAAAAGGAAGAAGGGTGGCGTTACTGACTAGCAAACACGATGGTGGAGAGATAGTTTCAATGTACCCATGTTTGTAGGGCAGAACATGATGTCAAATTACGGTTCCTTATGGTCAAGTGGTACTTCGCGAATCGATAGTATCGATGCCAATGTATTATGCAAAATACCTTTTTAAATCGTGTTCTTGACCTTGAAATGGTTTCACTTTGTACCGAGTAATCCTATTACAAGCAAACCTAGACACTGTTAAAAACGGAGTCTGTTCATGACCCTATAAAATAAATAAAAATGAGCTGAATTAGCTTGAATAAACAAGAGAAATAACCATAATTGTATCAGAGAATTGTTTTCAGAACTATAATTTATAAGTACACATAATCTTATGCTTTCAGCATTTTACAGAACTACCTTAATTTATCCAGCTCCTCATCTACTCACACCTTGTTTCCAATTATTTTCTTCAACAAATAAGGATGATCTTGCTTTACAGGTACCTTGATAACAGCGAAACAGACGAAGCAGTTACACCTTAAC